ACAGATACATTGCCACATGCTTTCCCTAGCCACCCAAAGGGTGAATAGGGAGGCCTTCCTGTATCACCACCCCCTTAACTCCAGGCAAATGATGCAGGTTAGCTTCCAGTGTGGTCCCTATTGGGTCCCATAGCCCTGAGCAGGAGGCCTCGGGTCCTGTCCATCACTATGGAAGGTGTTTAAGGGGCACACCTGGCTGAATTTAACTGTTCTCCTTTGAACATTGCTGCCCCAGAGGAGGAAAAAGGCTGCCAAATGGGAAGTTCAACTGTTTGAAATTATTTGTGGTGGCAATATGCTTTGATTAGGCTCCAATACTTTAGCCACCTCATGAGAAGAGAAGACTCCCTGGAAAAGACCCTGATGTTGGGAAAGATTCAGGGCACAAGGAGAAGGGGACGACAGAGGACATGAGTTTGACCAAACTGCGGGAGGCAGTGGAAGACAGGAGTGCCTGGCGTGCTCTGGTCCATGGGGTCATGAAGAGTTGGACACGACTAAACGACTAAACAACAACAACATGCTTTGATTGTTGTGAGAAGACCAATCCTTCCATTTCAGATGTTCATGCTTATGTTGTCATAATGGCATCACACACATGGGGGAGGGGGTTTAGTTATCAGCCGGCTCTGGGGAACTGCAGAGATTGCAGAAGTAAAACCAAATCTTTAGAGAAAGAAAAGATAACACACATACCCAAGAAGGCCAGTGAGGACTGAGCATACAAAGTGGGCACCACCTTAACTCCCTACCCAGAGAGTAAATGTGGAGTTCAGTTGAGATGCAGCTTTTCTATAATAAGGCTATAATCAGACCTGTTGTGATACTACAATTTTTTCCCCTTCTTTTTAAGGAATCTGTAAAGAGGGAAGTTGAGTGCAGTCCATTGTAGGAAAGGCTACTTGGGACAGAAAGAGAAGAAGGGGTTCTTAGACATTAAGACACATGACCCAGCAACCTCACTGGAAGCTAAGCAGATCCATGTATGGTAAATGTTTGAATGACAGAGCACTTGTGAACCCCGCATGGATTACATGGAGCACCCTTAAAGAAATCCAGGATATACAGCTAATAAAGAAGTGTGTGCATAGGTGGGGATGTTCAGGTGGCGATGGTAAGGGTAAGGAAGGGCATTCAACATCCAGGTTCTTCCTATTTTCATCTGTAAATTTTTTGAGCTTGGGGGGGAACATAGGATGCAGCCTTATACTTGGTCGGCCATTCAGCTGGTCCACCTAGCTCAATGCTGTCTACACAGACTGGCAGCAGCTCTCCAGGATTTGAGACAAGAGCCTGTCCCAGCCCAACCTGGAGATGCTGGGGATTGAACGCAGAGCAGATACTCTACCACTGACCTGCAGCCTCTTGTCTTCAAGTTTACAAATGCTTCCCATGGTGTTGGCCATGCTTCTAAAAGTCTGCTGGAGTGATCCCAATTGCTGGGGAACATCTCAGCTCTGGCTTTGTGGATTCTTCAGCTTTTGTCATGGCAGATGGCTTGACGGTGGTTTGCTCGAGGCCGCTGCTTCGTGCTTGCCATCTTATCTGCAGTGTAGCACTGTCCAATGCTGATCAGTTGCATTTTGAAACTGGAGGGAAGGGGGAAGATTATTGCTTAAACTGTGGTGGTAAATTACTTCTCTTAGTGGCTTTATTCCACAATAGGCCTCTACTGTGCCTTCTGCATTGGAGAAGGAGAAGAAAATGAGGGCCATTGCCCACAGTGGAGAGACAATCAGGAGCCTCTAATATTAGACGGTAGGGGTGGCTCTCTTCGTGATAATTGAGCAGTTTTTGTATTCATCTGTGGGTACAAAGGGATGCTGTCAAGTTGCTTAATGAGCCACTTACCGCATCCCTCATGCATATTATCCCAGCAGCAGCAGTGCCTATAAGCCTGCACATGGAAAAATATGTGCCGTTTTACTTTCCCCCCTGGTGATGCCATCGAATGGGGCGAGGCCTCATTAGTCTGCTGAAATCACAGCAGATGCCAACTGAGCGTGCTCAAAAGATACATTCTGTTTGCTTTTAAGTTTGGGATTTATAATTGTTGGCTCTCCCCCTCTACTCCATCTGCACGGCTCTTCCTCAAGGAGGACTAGGCCCATGCTGAGCTTTTGTTCATTCAATGGCGAGAGTTATTTATGAACAGGACTTATATCCTGTGAATTTCCCCCCTCACTTTTAAGCTGAAAATTGTAACTTTTCTCTTCCCCCAACGTTTCCCCTTAATTCAAAACTAGGGGATTTAAAAAGAAAGTTTTAAACACCTTAATAGAACCCTAATCTGCTTTCACGTCAAAGCTAAGGCTGCTTTTAGGTGCTGCAGTTAGTGCTCAGTAAAGCCGGGTAAATCATCCAATCAGAAATAATAAAATTTCTTCCTCTCATTCCTCCCTTCCCTTTGTAGTTTAGACATTTCTCTAGCCTTGGAGAATGGCTACTGGGCCATTTTTCATGTTGGGTTAGAAATGTGAATCTGTCTCAGAAGTGCTTCTTACCAGATGGACAGAAACAAGTTGAAGCCTGTGAGTTGTGTTACCTCTTGCTAGCATGTATGATTCCAGCACCTGTTGCCATGAATTTTTCCAATTGGAAAATGTCCTCCATTTCTTTCCTAAACTAACTAGACCATAAACAGGCACATACAAGTATACATATATAACTGTATTAAAATATGCATGCATTAATTTTAAAGATGCTGCTGAAATATTGTTCTGCATGAGAGTATCTTTTATATGTATCATACGTGTAATAGGTGTAAATTTTGAGGTATAAATTTTTGCCTTTAGTTTGCTTGGCTTTAAAAGTAAAAGCAGACAACAGTGCATGGGTGGATCTACACACAGGGGAAAAAATGCTACAAATAAGTCAGAAATTAAATCGTTATAAAAAGGGGGGAAGCTATGCAAAAATCACAGTTTTATTTTTTTCCAGCGCCATCTGGTGTTGTATGTTTATAACGCATTCAAAACGGTTTTTTTTTTACTAATGTAGCCGAGTCCCCAGAGTGACTTTGTGCAAACTGAACACTATACAGTGGTACCTTGGGTTAAGTACTTAACCTGAAACTGTTCTTAAACTGAAGCACCACTTTAGCTAATGGGGCCTCCTGCTGCTGTTGCGCCGCCGGAGCACAATTTCTGTTCTCATCCTGAAGCAAAGTTCTTAACCTGAACTTAACCTATTTCTGGGTTAGCGGAGTGTATAACCTGAAGTGTATGTAACCTGAAGCGTATGTAACCCGAGGTACCACTGTAGACAAAATTTCCACCAGCCTTCTAGTGTTGTATCGGCAATACCCCTAATTTAAAGGCTGCTCCCCCCCCCACCGCATCCCCGTTTCCTCTCCAAAAAAGAAAAAGAAAAATCCCTGATGGGCCTGAACATAAAATCCCTGATGGGCCTGAAGATAAAAGTAGCCATTAGAATTAACCATTTTTAGAGTTAATACAATGATCAGATTGTTCTACCAGCAGGGCTAATCCCAAAGACACTACTAAATCATGTGCCTCCTCCATGAGAGGTCCAGAGGGTGGCAAAATGAGAGCAGGGCCTTTTCTGTGGTGGCTCCTCACTTGTGGAATGCTCTCCACAGGGAGGGCTTGCCTGGCACCTTCATTAAATACCTTTAGGCACCAGGCAAAAACATTCCTCCTATCCCAGGCCTATGGCCTTTTAAACTGGGGAGGGGCTGTAATTGTTTTTGATCGTTACTATGTATGAAGGGTGGTATAGGATTTAATAAAATAATAATTCAAAAGTATCGGGCTTGTTAATTATGTTATGTATTTTGTGTTATTATACCACAAACCACCCTGTGTTCTTTGAATGAAGGGCAGTATATAAATTTAATAACCATTAAAAAATAACAATAGTAAAAAACGGAGCAAACCATTCAGTAGATAGGACTCTTTCTTTACATGTTTCACCTGAGAGCCCTGTCTTTTGCAACCAATGCATTTGCAACTTATACATATGTAACCTCCATTTGGCTTTCAGATGAATTGCAGGAGATAATATGTGGGAGACAGTGAACACAATCCAGATTCCCCACTTTGCGTGTTCCCTACATTTGTGAAGAGCCAGATTTGTGTTTTGAACTGGTGGTTTGGGGATGCCAGGCACATCACTGCCCTTCTCTGGCCGAGAATGGGAACTGCAGATATTAGTTCCAAATCTATTGACATGGTTGTTGGAATTCCTGTCAAGAATAGGCCATGGAAGTGACAGTGGGGGTCGTGCTGCTTGTCCCTGCGCCACTTTCCCTCTCATCCAGTTGTTAATCATGTGAAGGGGGATGCCCAAACAGGCCTTGAATCTTAGAGAATTCCATGTCCGCTAAGAGGTCCTATGAGATGATATTGCAGGGGTAGTATAGGCATATAATGTACACTCACCTGTGCAGACATGCCCCATACCCTCCAACACTTTGAAACCAATATTCAAGATACCATCTTCCCATTTTGTGGGGGTGAGAGTATAGTGGTCATTTTGGTGTCTGTGATATTGTGATATTCACAGCAACCAAAGTGGCTGCCATTCTCTCTCAATAACAAATGGCGTGTCTCAATTTTTCCGGGACACTTGCAGGGCATTATACCCTCAACAGCAAATGAACAGCAGGATTTGTGGAGCCACTGGGCACAGTGACTCTTCCTCTCTCATCTAGGGGTGGTGGAGCCTTGACAGGTTTCAGAAGCTTAAAAATTACTACGGTTGGATGCAGCAAGTGAACTTTATTTTATTGTAATTTATCCCACTTTTTCTCCAAGGAAATCCTGGTGGCATACATGGTTGTCTCTCTCCCCATTTTATCCCCACAACAACCCTGTGAAGTAAGTTAAGCTGAGGGACATGTTTGTGTTTTAATTCTTGTATAATTGTTGCTGAGGTTTGTTTTGTTTTGTTTCAGATGTCTATTGGGGCATTAAGCGGTATATAAATTCATAATTAACACCATCAACAATTTACGCCCCTTTTCCCTCTTTCTGCAGGCCCAGCATCTTCTTTCACCCAGCAACCTCAAGACCAGGTAGTGATCGCCGGGCAGCCTGTGACCCTGCTGTGTGCTATCCCAGAGTACAATGGAATTGTGCTGTGGATTAAAGATGGACTCGCTCTCGGCGTAGGCCGGGATCTCTCAAGTAAGACTTCTATATTTGCTTACATCAGTGGCAGCTCCTGTTACGTGTTATGACATATGGGCTTGAGAAACAAATGCTGACCACTTCCAGCTGCCGTTAAGCTAAGGGCAGGGTGAGGCGGGATGCAGGGAGACAGGAAGAACACTGATGGCAAATGCATGGCCAGCAAGGGAGTACAAAGGACAGAGTGTCCTGTACAAATGAGCCCGCCTGACATAAAACATTTTATATACGCTATCACCTGGAGTAGATCTACACACAGAAAAAAACCCACTATAAGTCAGAAAGTAACTTGTTATAACAAAAGGAAAAAAACCGCTATGGAAAATCGCCAAGAATTTTCTCCTCTCTCCAGCACCATCTGGTGTTGCATGTTTATAACGCATTCAAAACGCTTTTTCTTTACTATTGTAGCTGAGTCCCTGACCTGTTCTGGCCTATTGGTGTAAATAGGCATCCTTGCTGCTGTAGTCTATTTCCTTGCCATTCCCTCCTTTGACCAGAGGTGGGTGATGGCACACAGGCTGACACCCCTCGGGTTACCAGGGCAAGACCCGCAGCAGCTCAGACTGAGATGCTCAACTACAATGATCAAGTTATAGGGATCACAGGGATCACAAAAGCCTTGCATGGCATCCGGAAAATTAGATGCAGCAAAAGAAAACAACAGCCCATTTTGGAGGCGGGTTGTTGGAACAATGAGTGAAGGTTAAACCTGAAATATGTATTAAGGAGTATTTGAAAGGGGGAACTGAGTGAGTCTCAGCTTCACTAAAAAGTTAGCTAGTGCAGTAAAAGAGAGAGAGAGAGAGAGAGAGAGAGAGAGAGAGAGAGAGAGTAAAAAGAAAAGTTAGGGAGGGGCCATAACTCAGTGGTAAAAAGGTCCCAGCATGCATGGCAGGGATGGAGGAAATGGAGGAAACTAGAGATATGGTGCATGGTAGGTCCTAGATTTTATTGATGAACATCTGAAAGACATTCAGAACATAAGCCTCTGAATTGTTTCCAGTAAAAACTTGGAATGTGGGGGACGCTCTCATCGACAGCTCAGGCTCCGAGAAGTTTACAACAAGGGATAAACTGAAGCACATTGTCACAGTCCTATTAACAGGCTGTCAAACCCAGCCTCCCTTAGTCTATTTTAAGTTGGGCAATGTTTGCCTCCATGTACTGGGGGAAGGGACCACGTATTGTGCCAACAAAGAAATAATTCCCTCTCTTCCAACACTGCGATTTTTGTGGCAGAGCTTTGGAATGTAGGGAGAAACGAACCCTGTTCAAGCAGTCACCATGCATGAGTGTGAGCAATTGCACAAGGGAGGGGAGCAGGCTCAAGGTGTGATGTAGAGCCCTGTGTATGCTTTATGCAGAGACCTTCCACAAGCAGAGGAGACTCATAGACTCATAGAATCGTAGAAATGGAAGGGACCCCAAGGGTCATCTAGTCCAACCCCCTGCAATGCAAGAATCTTTCGCCCAACATGTGGCTCAAACCCACAACCCTGAGATTAAGAGTCTCACACTCTACCGATTACTGCAAACATTTGCCCTCATTTAATTTTGGGGGGCGGAGCTCTACACAGTATAAATATGACATGCTTGGCAACTCGGGGGCTTGGCGACTCAGCTCCACTCCCGCTGATGTGATTGCTCACATGTGATGCTGATGAGCATCCAAACAGGGCTTTGGGAGAGTGGGAAAGCTGGGCTACTATGCTTCTTTGAGGGCCTGCAAACTCTACCAAAGACTGACATTAAATGCAACAAGTCTTCTGCACCCCACAAGCTCCTTATTCCTTAAAACATATACTGCTTAATTGTAAATAGAACCTCTAAGCTGGTTAAAATGTTTACAAAAACATGCATTGCTTTAACCTGGCTTACCCCTCCTGATATCTATTCCAGCTATCTGTACAGCTATCCACATGTCTCTGTATTAAGGTCCAGTGATCGGAGCAGCATAGGGAATTGCCCTTGCACATACATGTGCACACATGCATGGCTTGCTACATGGAGCAACCTCTGTGGGTTTAAGCACCACGTCATTTTGCCATGTTGGGCGAATCAGAATTTCAGCCCCTTGTATGCCTGCCACTGATAAAAATTCCAGTCCTTACTCTCTCTAGGCCTCAGGAGTCTATTGTAAAATGGGAATACTTCTCCATGCCTCAGAGCAATGATTTGAGGCACTCTCTTACTGTACCCATGGGGGTGATTGGTGTATCAGAGAGGCGCTTCTTCAGAGCATTGCAAAAGCTGAGCTCTGTTCCAATGAATGACGTCAAAAAGTATAAGGGGAAGCATTTTATCCCTCCCTCCCTCCCTCCTTCCTTTTCCATGGTGCTTCTCTCTGCTTCCAGTTTCCAGAATATGAAGCAGCCAGCAAGCTGGATATACAGTATAACACACACATACTTTACGTTCCTCTGATTGCGAATTTATCTTTATGGATAAATTTATGGATATCTTCAGATAGCCATTCTCTGCAAAGTTCAGAACAGGAAATGAGTAACAGGAGCTAATATGGCTGACGTATCATTCTGAGCAACTTTGGCAATTAACTTTGCTGGGTCTGCTTTAGCAAGCTGGGTCTCTGCCTGCTTGTGCGATACCAGCTCAGCTAGTCATCTAATTAGCTAAATACAAACAAACCCTTCATTTGTATTTCTTGTGGTTCATGAGAGCAAATCCTGCTGTTGATAGCTTGAAAAACAAAGCAGGGAGGGAAAACAGGAGAGCGTGCCAAGCTGCCTCGGCTTCACAGCTCATTAATCATCAAACTTGGGAAGGACTGATTTTTTTTGGGGGGGAGGGTGTCTCTATCCCTATGACAGTATAGGTAACTGGGGAGATGAAGCCCATAGCGGTCAACTTCTGTCAGTACCCTGCTAAGACTTGGTCAAACAGTTTGCTGTTTTTCAGCTCTATCCTTTTTGCATTTTGTACCCCAAAGGTTACCCACGCTACTTGGTTGTGGGGGACCATCTGTCAGGGGAGCATCACCTGAAGATCCTGAGAGCAGATCTCCAAGATGATGCTCTGTATGAGTGCCAGGCCATTCAAGCAGCCATCCGTTCCAGACCAGCCCGGCTGACCGTTCTCGGTAAGGATCTGATTTCTCACTGGAAAAAAATGCACAATTCCCCCTCTCTCTTCTTCTTCTTCCTTGACCTTGAAATGAGTTAAAAGGCTCATTGAGAAAGAATGTATGTGCACTGCTTAAAAAGAGAGTTTCTTCAGCGGATGAAAAACCAAGTGTGTTTTTAGGCTCACAACATCCCTGGTGATTGCCCATTCTGAGTGGGGCTGATGGGAATTGGAGTCCAGGAGTACCTGGAGGGCACTTTTGGTTTGGTTACCCCAGGTTATCTCACGCATGCCCTTTTCGATCAACATCAAGCACTGTTATGGAACGGGGATGTGTGGGGATATAGCCTGTGGAGATGTCATAATGGGAAATGTGGAGGTGACTGCTTGCTGCTAGTTATAGTCACATGCCTAGCATTTCATGTAGTTCCATTCTGAGTGCAGTGTTGACTATGCAAGTAGTTTAAGTTGCAAACACATTGAGAGGTGGCAGGAGTCTGGGTGAGGAGGTCCTGCCCCTGTGAGGGAGAACCATTGGGCTGCTTCAGCCGCCATTTTGTATGAAACCTTCCATGGCTCAGAGAGCAAGAAGCAGAGTGGTAGCAGGCACATCTGAAGATAAGGCAGGGTGTGTTTGTGTGTGTGCTTGTGCACACTTTTCATCCTTCTGTAGCCACTCTTGTCTCTCTCATTAGAATTTGAAATCATTGATTTGGATCCTGTCTAAGTTAGTTGAACTTCAGTCCCATCAAAATCAATGGATCAAGTTATTAATGACTTACACCCCATTTAGTTCATTGGGAACTGAGTTCGATGAACTTTGTGGTTGTAGCCAAATAAGTTCTGTTCAGAGTAGACCCACTGAAGTCAATGGGCCTAAGTTAGCTGTATCGATCATCTTCAATGGGTTTACTCTGATTAGAACTAGCGTTGGACCCAACCCTTTAGCCCCAAATCCAAGCCATTGTAAATTGCCTCAAAGAGTTTAGTAATTAGGCAGGGAACATATATTTTCTAAATAAAAATAAATGTGCAAACATGAGCACAAGGAAGCACACAGATTTGTGTAAGTAGCTTGTCACCCAACTGCAGTGGAACAAGTCACTTATTTTCCTGATTCTGACATCTCGAGTAACCATTTGGTTTTTGTATTTGGGATTAGATGTATCTGTAATTCATTGAAATAGAGTTTCTAAATGTTGCTGGAAAGGTCATAATAAAAAGTATGATTCCCATCTCTCTATCTTTCTCTAACCCTCATCCCACTCCTGCACTTGACAAAAGTATACAGATGGGGAGGGGGAAGGTATATTAAGAAGTATTTCTTTTTTTTCTGACCGGCCTGATTTAGATTTATAACAACTCCTGGTGTTTTGGGGTGTGTAACTCAGCTTTTGCAGAAGCATGATTTATGTACAAACACACACAAGAAAAATATACCACTGAAATAGCCCCCTGCAGCTACTAAAAGCTGAGATGTTATTATGATTGAAAAGTGTTTATCAGTGGAGTCTGTATGAAAAAGAGAATAGCAGCTGAAATTCATTCATTATAATTCCAACGAGTTGCTCTTCTTCTGTATCACAAAGATATGAAAGGAGCCTGCCAATGAAGGGGAGTGGGAATACAGGGGGTGGTTTGCTCCAGCTGTTGCTTTCTCACTTTCCATGGGAGGGGTACTAGATGGAGATTTCAAGATCGAAGATTTCTAGGCGTGAATTACCTGTGCTACCTTGCTTATGGTATTGGAGAAGAAGCCTAGAAGGGATTATTGTGGTGGCCAGCAGAAGAGAAAAGCAGACACCAAAGAAAAAGAAGTGGTCAGTGAAAGGGTAGCTAATGTGTTGCTCTCCAGATATCATTGGACTACATATCCCATCATCCCATTACCTCCAGCAAGCTGGTCAGGAATGATGGGAATCGTAGTCCAGCAACATGTGGGGACCCAGAGTTAAAGAAGGCTGTCATGGAATGTGGGGTTGCTTCTTTTTAAGGCTTTCTCCTAAGCAAACGGTTGCATTTTCCGGAATCAGCTATTATTGCTCCTTCCCATTCACTTTCTGACAGTACCTCTCCCATCCAGAACAGCAAAGTAACTTAGATGGAGAAGGTGGACACGCACACTGCGACAAAGAACATTTTGCCTTGCTCTACCCAAGAAGGAAATAATGCTTGAGTGTCCGAGTTTTTGTGTGTAATGGTGCCCCTACTACAGCAGTTCCTTGAATCTGATTGAAACCCTGTGTCTGAAAGTACGGTTTTGAAGCAAAATCATTGTTTGGATTCAAAAAGCCTCTTTGCCAGAATTAGTTGAAGCATGTGCTTGTTATTCGACGGTTCATTACATGCTGGTTCAGCCTCTGGTAGGTCATGATTTGTGCACTTCATTATTTTTGAGGTTCATTATTTGGTCACTTCATTATACATGCTGTTCGGCACTCCCTTCCTCTGTAAGCCCATGCCGTTTTGCTATTCAGGATTAGATTTGAAATTCTGCAAGGGATTGATTAGTTAAGCCAGAGTATTGTGAAGGGGACAGAGCACAAAATGACCGGTCCAACCCCCACCCCTTTAAGGTTTCCGTCAATGTTCAGATGGGCGAAATAATAAAGGAACTGAGAATGTGGAGCCACATTGTGGAAGTTGAAAGAAGTTTTACATGTTGCAAAGACTTGAACTGGGATGCAACCACGAACACTTCCTTGGAGGCTGGGATATTAGAAGACAGCAATTTCTATTCCCACCTGTATTTGTCATGATCAGCGCTGTTGCCATTCCACTGCAGTTCATTTTCCACTAAATACTATGTTATTAGTCTCACTGTCCGCCATTTAACATAGCTCATGTACCTTACATAACTGCTTATTCGTTTCAATGCAAAGGAAACACCGAAGCCACGTAGAAAAAAATAACTACATATAATTTTCAGGCTTAAAAAACCCCACAAATGTTGTGAACAAATGCCAGGTGTATTTCCTTGACAGATTTTCATTCCTTTTTTAAAAAATAAGATTTTTATGTAAGCTTTTCACAATACAATAAGAAAACAGATACAAAAAATATGAACAGAGTAAGAAAAATATGGAGACTTTTCCTAAAGGCAATTCTCAGCTCCCACCACCCATAGAAGGTAGCAGCCCCTTCCAGCTCTCACCAGGGGTCCTTCCTTTCTCCTCTAAGCCTCTCACCCTGGGAGACCAACATTATCCTGTCTCCCACCCAGGACCCTCCATCAACCATCTACCACCCACATGAGTACACAATCCCTGGACCTTAATAAAGGCCCCAAACAGAGGTCCCAAACATAGCAAAGCAAAAGGAAAGGAAAGGAAAAAGGAAAGAAGCATTAATAATAATAATAATAATAATAACTTCTAATTTTCCATCTGCCAGTTACATAAAAAGATTGTTCGGGGTCTAGCCGCCAGAGCAGGAAAAAATAAGCCTGCTCCATCTTTCATGTGACAGCCCTTAAGATATTTGAAGATGGCTATCATGTCTCTTCTCAGTCTCCTCTTTTCCAGGCTAAACATACCCAGCTCCTTCAACCGTTCCTCATAAGGCTTGGTTTCCAGACTCTTGATTGTCCTCCCCTGCACACGTTCCAGGTTGTCAACATCCTTCTTAAACTGTGGTGCCCAGAAATGGACACAGTATTCCAGGTGTGGTCTGCCCAAGACAGAACAGAGTGGTACTATTATTTCACTTGATCAGGATGCTCAACTTCCGTTGATGCAGCCAAGAATAGAATTAGCTTTTTTTGCTGCAAGAGCACCCTAACCGTTTGCTAAGTTCTTTTGCTATTCACAACAGCTATAGACATTATTTTGTCACAGCCAGATAGTATCCAGTGTGATTCTCACAAGTCACAGGGTTTCTTTCTCCTGGAATTGTGTACTCCACACAGCACAGCAATACGTTCTGTTGTTTACAGGACCACTTATCCTCAGATAAAGAATAGTGAACCAGGAACCTTTGATCTTCTGGAGATTGTTGATTCTCTTTCTGCTTCCTTCAATGTTTGAGTTGACCCTCAAATGTGTAAACAAAGCAGAGGATGAAATTACTTCAAGGAGTGTTACCTCAGGAAATAGCTATTGAAAATGACAGTTCACCCCACACAGGTTAAAAATTCTGGACTTGTGATCTGCATCTTTGCAGAGAGTAACAAATGGATAAGAGTGGCACTTGCATTGCTTTTTGTATCTAGTAGAATATTTTCAGTACTGCACTGCACAAAATTAAGGTAGGGGGCAGGATTAGGTGTCCTTTGAAAAAGCTATACAGGATATCACACTTACAAAGGCAGGAATATGCCAGTAGTTGTACATTACTGTGCTTTCAAACTTGCACAATCACATCAAGCACACTCTTGCCATCGAAAAGGGCACGGCTGCACTCCAGACCTGGTTGGGCTTGCCTAAACAAATATGTTTTAAGAAGGTGCAGAAAGAATACAAAGAAGGTGCCTGTCTGATTCCAGTAGGCAAGGACTTCCAAAATGTTGGTGCTGCCACACTTAAAGATCAGTTTATTACAAGCGTAGAACAGGTATTATGTGTCACCTGTAACAGTAGCAGTTCTACAGGCTGATTGGGCATATATGGAGCAAGGTGATCTCTCAAGTAAACTGGTCCCAAGCTGTTAAGGGCTTTATATAATAATAGTAACACCTTGCACCTGGCCCAGTAGCAAATGGGCAACCAATGTAGATCTCTGAGAAGAGGTGTATCTGCACACAGGTCCTCACTCCTGCTGGCAAGATATACTGCAGCATTCTGCAGTAACTGCTGTTTCTGTATCAAGTGTAAGGGGAGCCCCACATAGAGTGCATTGCAGTAGAATCAAAGAATCATAGAATTGTAGAGTTGGAAGGGATCATCTAATCCAACCTTTTGCGCAACGTGGAGCCTGAAACCAACAACTCTGCGATTAAGAGTTTCATGCTCTACCAGCTGAGCTACATCCTGGTGTAATCCAACCCTAGAGCCAATCTTGATTATGAGAATTGTACCC